CTCCAGATTTGCCAAGATTGTCTCCAGTTTCTCAGAGTCCAACAGAGGTTCTCCTTTTCAGAAGCCCTATCTATATTTTACAAACATGTGAAGGCATTCTCAAGGGTCATCAGTACAGCCTTGCTCCTAGATATATATGTGCATGCTAGCTATGCTCCTGGGCAATGTGTGCCTGGTATCAGTTTGAAGCAGGCCTGCATACGTATGTAAGGACAAGAAGCATCATCAATCAGTCAGGGGCCCAGGACCTTTTCAGGTTGCGGGAGCCCTACACAGACATAGGCACTCTGCAAACTGATGCCAATCGTACACCAGCAGGAGTGGAACAGTACTTGCTCACTCACTGTTGAGAGCCTCTTCACACATCTGTAATGAGTGCCTCCACTGGCGCTTAATTCTCAAATATGTAAAGACTTCTCATACTTGACGAGGAAAAAGTGGAGGGTGTTGCCTTGGTAGTAGCAGGAGTGGAAACTGTAGAAAAAGAAGGCTATAGTACTACAGTGTTAAAGGTATAACAATAGTTTAATGTTGTGAATTAAGCCGAATTTCTTAACTTTGTGTTTTAAAGATCACATTTGCCATACAAAATGTTTTGTATTTTCAAATTATAGAGTTCTCCCCATAATTAATTTGTCCTTTCCAAGCAGTGGAAGTGGAAGAGAAAGGAAAAACGCTTATTAGCAACCTCTTAAGTGGATGAATCTATGGTGACAAAATGCTCTAGCAGTGTTTCCCCCCTCACAAATGCACAATGAGAGGCATCACCTCATCTGCCAGCTGTGGGGAAAATGAGATGCAATTAAGAACATTAATCACAGCTCTGGAAAAGGGACTCTCTTCATAAGGCACACTGCTCTTGCAGATGCGCATCTGCTGGTTACAATATTTCCCCACAAGACACTGCATATTAAGCTTGCAAAGTGTTCCACACCTTGAAAAATATACACCCCACTAACATCACCAAGGCATACAAAGGAGGGTGGGTGTTTTCTCTATTCCCTCTCTATAATAAAAATGTATAGATGACATTGCACAGCCCACATTGGAGGATTTGCATTGTCTCATCATAATCCTGGATTTGCACGAAGTCGGCGGGGGGGGCGTAGAGGAGCAAAAGAGAAGGCAGGTTTCACAGTAGCAATGACCGTGGCATGGGAGCAAGAAGGGAGGAACACAGAGAGGGGAAAGTGGTGGTCGAGGAGTGTATTATGAGTCTGTGGCCAGGTCTATATCTTTTAAAAGTTGAAATAGTTTCTAAAATACCCTATCATTATTTTCTGAAATCTCCCACATTTCATAATGCCTGTGGCATTATGAAATATACACACCTTTCAGTCACCTTCAAAGCATATGGCTTTCCCCAAAGAATGCTGGGAAGTACAGATTACGCCTCACAGAGCTACAGTTCCCAGCACCCTCAACAAACTACATCATTAAGTCTTTGTTTTAAAGGTGCTTTAAATGTATAGTGTGTGTGCTGTCTCTGTCTCAAAAACAGAGGAATGTGAGGCTTAAACTTATGAATGCATTAAAATTTTGAGAAAGGCTGTTACTACCCATATTGTTTAATTGCACTCTTTCCACATGAAGAAAAGGGTTCATGCAGCTGTTTCGGCAATTTTTGTGCCAACAGAAAATTGCTCAAAAGACATTTTAATGACTTTTAAGATTTGATCTCTCTTAAAGAAAAGATATTTTGATGGCAAGGAAAGGTAAGCTTCTTTATTGGGAGAGAAACAATTTTGCTAGATTGGAAGAGACAAGCTAATTTAAAAGCCAAAATACTTTGAACAAAGGTTTGTTTTAGGCATGGATAGATTTTTTTTGGGGGGGGGATGTGGAATGTAAAACAGTATTTTAGCACTCTCCGTGGTACAGGTGTCAGACAAAATGTGCCTTTAAAGTCTAGTCAGTATCCTGTTATTAATCTGATTTCCTACACCACAATAATATATTCTCACTTGCCAGTATTAGAACATTTAGTTTTCTTTTTTGAAGTCTTTCTAGACTTTTAGGTTTGGTCCAAAGAACTGCACAAGTATGTCTGCACACCAAAGTGAGCGCTGGACTTCCTTTCTTGAATGGCAGCCTACTTTACTGGGTGGTATTGATATGTGGGATAGGGGCAAAAGCAGTTTCCAAAATGGCAATGTGGTCTTTCATTCAGAGCTCACCCCAGCTAGAAAGTGTGAGTCTGAGCGGTTCTCTGCTTGACCCACACATCACTTTCTTGGCATGGGTCTGAGCAGTTTCCCCCTTGCCTTTCTCCTTTCCAAGGAAAAACCTGCTCTTCAGTGATAGATTGGAACAAATGACAATCCAGGGGAAACCCAAATCGCTGTTTGCTCCAACTGAGCACTAGATAGAAGTTTTCCCCAGGAGAAAGCAGCAGAAGAATGCAAAGTGTGGATAAGCCCTCAGAGGAAAAAGTCATCAATTCTGTTTGGCATGTCCAAGCACTTGGGGGCTCCTGGAGTCAATTTTGTGTACCCAAAATAGCTCTTTGCATCTCATATAGAAAACAGGATTACAAATGCAAAATAATTAAAACAGTGACAGCCACTTAAGGCTGCAATCCTATGGCCCCTGGGAAGGTATCCTATGGGCCAAGGGGTACGTTGGAGCTCCCACACTGATGTAGAAGATGGAGATTCACTGACAGATCTCTCCATCCTGTAGCTGTGGAAACATGTGATGCCCTAAAGCTCTACCCTATAACACGTATAAAACATATTTTCTTTACTAATGTACTTGAGTCCCTAGTTTTGTCATGTGTTTAGATTTTCTGGATGACTTTGTTGGTCGTGGTGCTAGCTGGCAGCGAACTATATCTCTCATCTGCTGCCTCCATTATGAAATACTTTTGAAGAATAGAGAGAAAAAATAGGCTTCTTCTCAGAACAGTCATCAAGGAAAGGTCCACACAAGGCAACAGGCTGCATACAAGGAAAACTGCAGGGGATGTGTCTGAAAGCAACAGACAGCTCAATCAGCTTTCGAGTTATAGTATCACCAGAAGCAAGTGACCTCACATCTCATCACAAAATGTGCCAGATAAATCCCTATAATGGGGAAACGAGGGCATTGTTAGTCTGTATCTGTAGTCTGCTAGTAGCAGACTTGTTCAGAATACAGGTTTCTTTCATATAAAGGTAAAGGGACCCCTGACCATTAGGTCCAGACGTGGCCAACTCTGGGGTTGCGACACTCATCTCGCTTTACTGGCCGAAGGAGCCAGCGTACAGCTTCTGGGTCATGTGGCCAGCATGACTAAGCCGCTTCTGGCGAACTAGAGCAGCACACGGAAATGCCGTTTACCTTCCCGCCGAAGCGGTACCTGTTTATCTACTTGCACTTTGACGTGCATTCAAACTGGTAGGTTGGCAGGAGCAGGGACCAAGTAACGGGAGCTCACCCCATCATGGGGATTCGAACCACCGACCTTCTGATCGGCAAGCCCTAGGCTCTGTGGTTTAGATCACAGCGCCACCCACATCCCTTTCATATACTCAACACCAATTCCTTGTGCCTTTCTAAATGATCATCCCCCCCCCCCTTATTTATACTATTTTTTTTTTCTGAATGGAATCTGAACAACTTTCCTCAAGATCAGGTGGGATGCAATACTTTCCCAATACCACCATATTTTATAACTGGAAAAATAAAATTTTTCACCTGCCAGTTTTTCCATTTCTGCAGCGTAGAAGTACTTCAGTAAGTATTGTTCACACCCCAGTCATCCACCAATAAAACCACCCTCCTCTCATCACAGGCTCAGTTTAGATTTTTTTTTCCTTTTTAAAGTTATTTGTAGGATTTCTCACCTGCTGGTCAAAGCTGGTTATTATTATTTATTTTCATTTGATTTCTTACCTGCCTTCACCATAAGGTCTGAGGGCAGGTTACAGCAATGTAAAAATACAATTTTAAAAGCAATGAAAACAATTTACAATCAAAAGAATAGCATGAGCCCTAAAAACATGTATCTCAGGTGTCAAAGGCCTGGGTAAAAAGTTGTGTCTTCAGCGTAGGACAGGAACTATGCAATGGAGAGGGAATTTCATAACTTAGGGGCTGCCACAGAGATTGCCCTTTTCTGGGGCACCACCACCACCCCTAAACATATGAGGATGTGGAACTACCTGAAGTGGTCTTTTACATACTAATGAAAAGCAACAGCTTCAGGAAAGAAGAAAGAGGAGACCTATTGCTTGGCATACATTTCCCCCCCCCTCCCATGAAAGTTCTGAACAAAACAAAGCTCAGTCTCGTGCAAAATCTGATGGTCCACCTTTTGGTTAGTTATTTCTTATATAAATCATTGCTTGACTGTTGTCCCCCCCTCCCCCCCCCGTAACAAGAGACACTTTAGCTTGGAAAGGTAATTTAACGGTATCAAGAAAAATGAGTGGTTGCAGTGGATAATTGTTTAGGAATCTAGTGCAGTCCAGAGGAAATGAAATGCACCTATGGAACAGCTTCCCCAATGAAACTCACAGAGCACCTTTTGTGTGTGTCCCTTATTGGCATCAGGCAAATAACTTTTAATTCAACCGGGCTTTTAAATTGTGCCTTAAATCCAGGCTGTAGGTTGTTTTATGCTGCCTCGATGTAAGAACTTTTCTGTATTTTGTCACTGATTTGATTCTCATCCTATATTGTGTGTTTAGGATTTTGTTGCAAGCCACGCAGGAGCAATGAGGCGGCGATATAGATCCAACTGAGCAGTCAACATCAGTATCATGGTGAAATCCATGAATCTTAAATATTGCATTTATGGCTGAAATCATACTCTACTTTGTAGAGTTATGCTTGCCAAAACTCACTGAAATTTTTCATGCTTAGGTGTGGACAATATCCACGCAGGATATGACCCATTAGAACAGTGGGGCATGCATTTGTCAAGCAGTGATTGGCTCAAGTACATTCATTCCCCTTTGTAATTTGAATACACATCAGTCAGTTTCAATATGAGCACCAGGGTGAAAGGCATTTGCCACTTTGGGGTTATTATTTTTATTGCATGCAAGAGGTCAAATGAGTTCAGTCTTTGTTTCAACCCTGCTAACTAGCCTTTTCAAAAACCACAAGGTCACAGAACCTCTCAGAGATTTCTCAGAGAATTGCAGAGCTTCTTGTCTGACATCATCTTCTGTCGTCTTCCTTACGTTTAGGTCACTGGACATTTTTTTTTATGAGGTTTTTTCATGAATCCAGTCTACAAACTCAGTCACATTAGTGTAAACTCCCGGTTGACCTGGACGAGCGCATCCCTCACCCCAGCTGGTAATACCAACCAAATACCAGGTTCTCTGACGTTCACATGAGAGAGGACCACCTGAATCTCCCTAGAGAGAGAGAGATAAGAAACACATATATTGTCAGTATTTTGGCCATGTGAGAGTCCTGGTCTTGAATGGGACATCCAAATTAGCAACTGCAATAGCAGCTCTTTTCCTGAGTATAAACAAACCACAACAGGGGCAGAAACATACTCATTAGAGTAACATCACCAGAACTCAAAAATAATCTGTTCGTAATCTGTTTAAATGTAAAATGGTGGTAAATCTCAAATGCATTACATGCGCTGATTTCAATCCAATCAACTTTAATATTTTTGCAATTCAAACCAAGGGTAAATAAGAGTTAATTTATGTGTGGTCTGCAGAATTGGCATTAACTAAGCACCCAAACCCATGTCATTTCTTCACATGTTCATTGTTTGATGCTACCTTTAATTTTTCAAAGGAAATGAAAATGACCTTCTTGCCAGGCAAAGATACATGGAATGATTTTACTTTCACCCTTTAGTCAGTGCCAGCAAGTCTGCTCACTGCACCATATGTGTAATGGAGCCTTTTTGTCCTGGCTCATCTACAGAGAACAATATAAATCAGGACCCAACATATTTAATAGTTACACTGATTTCCTGAAAAGTGGGACAGAAATGGCCAGTTCCACTTACACTGCTACAAGCCAAAGCAGATGTTAAAGATTAGATTTCTCAAGTCATAAATTAGCTTGAAAAGTAAATGGAGAGAGAATACATGGTGCAGATTGGCACATGCTTATTTCTTTAACTATTCCCAGGGAACCATGGGAGAAGAAGAAGAGAAGAGTTTGGATTTGATATCCCACTTTATCACTACCCAAAGGAGTCTCAAAGCAGCTAACAATCTCCTTTCCCTTCCTCCCCCACAACAAACACTCTGTGAGGCGAGTGGGGCTGAGAGACTTCAAAGAAGTGTGACTAGCCCAAGGTCACCCAGCAGCTGTGTGTGGAGGAGCAGGGAATCGAACCCGGTTCACCAGATTACAATTCCACTGCTCTTAACCACTACACCATGCTGGGAGCTGTAGTAGGAGAAACAGCAAGGGATTTCTAGCAGGATTCTCATCACCTTCATTCACCAAACTACAATTCCCAGGATACTTTGGCAATTAAACTGGTCAACATTTGTAAATTACGTAAATCCTAGGTAACACAAAGGAGGCTGTTACCTTACAAGCGTCCCTGCCACCTTCTCTGTAGCCAGCACACATCATCTTGTCAGTTATCCTGTGTTCTTGGTATCGTGACTGGCATTCTAAATTGGATATTAGGGGGATGCGGACTTTTTGCAGGGTATCTTGTATCTCACCTACAGTGTTACAAATGATGGAAACAGGACACAAAGCAGGAAGGGGAGAGAGATGTCAACAATGTTGCCAATTCCTCCTAGCTCAGTAATTTCCAGACTGTGTCGGGACTCACTAAATTGTCACAAGAAACTAGAAGCTCCCAGGAGCCTGAAATATCCACCCACCCACTATGTAGGTTGTCTGCTTTATCTGTACACATGCAGAGAATGACCGTAGATCAAGCATGCTGCATTGACAGATGGTTGCCTTAGATGACCTTTGAGGTCCCTTCCATATCTATGATTCTATGCACATCTCTCGCATGTTTCTTTTCATGCAACTTCCACTGGTTACAGAACTGCCCAGCCTACACATCACTGGTGTGACTCCTTTGGGGAAATCAATTTGAAAACACTAAGCGCATCATTTCTAATATCAAATTAAGGCCCCGCGTATATTACACATTTAAAAGATTTATATATTTGTAGGCAGTGCAAAATTGAAAGCTTCTAGATTGTGTATCAGTGCAATTGCTACCCTATTGGTCACAGGAAACCCTCCCCTCCAGAGCATGTGAGTTTTTCCCTGGCATGACTTCATCTTTTATGGATTCAGCATGATCATTTCCAAAGATAAGTATTTCACATTTCTTAGTTTTATTTTTTCAATACCTCTCTCTTTTGTGTAACCCCATCCAGTCACCCAGCAGTTGGTGAATTCTGTATTCATTCTGTCTTCAGATGGTAAGCATATAGGTTGCTGTAAAGCTGAATTTCCATTTAAAGGAAAAGTAAATAGTCAAATGTGGAGGAAAGAGAATTCATTTAAAACTACATCGCATTCCTGTAAGAATGCCAATCGTAATTTTTACTTGGTTGGAACAATAGCTGGCTAAAAGCTACTGCAGTCAAGTTACTTTAGCTTTAGTGGTAGCAATGCTGAGTTCCTTATGATACGGAATTCAATTCATCAACCAATTCATGCTGGTACAAATTCACAAACCAACTGCAAATTACACACACACACACACACACACACACATTTACCCTATGCAACTGTACACCTTGGCTAGAGATGAAATAGGAACTGGTTTGAAAAGCAGCACATCAAAAAGCAGCATTTTAAAACAAAGTACAGGATACATGTGCATTTTGGATAAGTTGTGTGAAACAGGGATTTTAAAACCCAGCATTAAGTGCACAGTAAATGAGAGCAGGCACACACATGCTGCGCTCACATTCAATGATACAGTACTGCTACCATATTTTGGGGAGAGTATTAACTGCTTCTTTTTTCAGATGGGTAGCCGTGTTGGTCTGCTATAGTCAAAACAAAACAAAATTCCTTCCAGTAGCACCTTAAAGACCAAGTTGGTCTTTAAGGTGCTACTGGAAGGAATTTTGTTTTGCTTCTTTTTTATCATTGTTTTACTTGATACAGAAGGGGGGGGCATGTCTTCTTCACCTTCTTCTTCGCTACAATATATCCATTTATTTCCAATTGTCAATGTCAAAAGGGACTAAAATCTATAAAATTCATAGAAAATCAACGTGCCAATTTGCTCAATTTCTCTAGGACTCCATGACACCTCCCCTGTCCTCCATAATCCCTCAAGCAAGGTGTCAAGACCCTAATCCTGTCAAATCACTCTGCCAAGCCTTTCCTCCGGGCAATGCCAGGTGGCAGACTATGCATACATGGACCATTGTCTTCTCATCACTGGTACTCAGGATGTGCTTATCTGTGCATATCTCCAGCTCTGCATATTCCCCCCTCCCTCCTCCATATGTTAATCCTGTGTAACCCAACCTCTTCTTAATGTATTCATGATGTAATCCTGTGTAACCCAACCTCTTCTTAATGCATTCATGATGTAACTGGGATGTATTTTGCACTGTATTCTGGGACATGGAGGGAAGTTTCAAAAGTTCATGTCACCCCTTTCTCGCTGTTCAATCTCGCCTTGAACCTGTTGCGCAATAAACTTGGATCTTCTGCAGTTTGCTCCTGTCTCCGGCTGAGCTCATTTTCCTCCGCAGGGACCCGCGGACTTAGTCCGACGAGCTGGGTGGCAGAGCAGCCTCACACCCAGATTTTACCATAACACTTAAGATAACATTTAGGATTTTGCAGTAAACTTAAAAGTTTCACATACCACTGAAGTTCATCGGCCTGTCCAGTTTCATTAAAGCGATGTCATATCCTGTCTCTGAATACTCATACTTAGGGTGGACAATAATCTCTTGAACTCTGAAGAAGGGGGTATCTTCATTTATTTCTGACTGCTTCAAAATGCCCGCATAAACACGCCAAACATCTGTTACCAGAAGGCTAAGCAGAGAAACAATTTTAAAAGATCAGGCTTATTTAAAGCTTTGAATATGAGGCTGTTTTCCATTGATTTAGAAAGGCTAACCTAAGATCCATGCCACACAGAAATCCAGCTATTTCTTTGTGCTTTAAAGCACTGTATTGTATTGCATTCTTTTCATTTCTATTCTTGTAGCAGCTAATTCTCCCCAATGCTCTTTGTGCTTTTTTTTTGTGCCTCATAACATCTGGAAGCCATTTATAACATGCCCGTGCCTTTCTTGAAGCCTCAGTAGTCTTTCCCTTCTTCTCATAACACATAAGAGCATGGCAGCACATAGCTCTGCTGGGTCAGCCCCAGGATCCATCTAATCTAATCTTTATAGTGGGGTAGCAGAGATAAAAATAATGCCTATCTATTTCACATCTGGCAACCAATGCACCTATGGAAGTGCATACTCAATTCTGACCAAACTAAGCCTCCTAGAGCACAATATACACCAGGTAGGTTAGTTTGGTCAGAATTAAGTATACACTTCCAGAGTTAACACTAAATACCAGGGGTCAGCAAACTTTTTCAGCAGGGGGCCGGTCCACTGTCCCTCAGACCTTGTGGGCGGCTGGACTATTTTTTTTTTTTGGGGGGGGGACAAATTCCTATGCCCCACAAATAACCCAGAGATGCATTTTAAATAAAAGAACACATTCTACTCACATAAAAACACGCTGATTCCCGGACCATCCGTGGGCCAGATTTAGAAGGCAATGGGCCGGATCCGGTCCCTGGGCCTTAGTTTGCCTACCCATGCTAATTAGATTACTTCTGGTAAATGAGACACCATAGCTGCTAGAGGACCATGAAAACTTGTGTCCCAGGCTTTTTAGACTTGTCTACCCATGTACTATCTGAAAACAAAGGGGTACATTGGTTGCCAGGTGTGATTTTTTTTTCCAGCCCTCCTACCCTACTATTAAGTTTTCCCACTAGCAGTCCAGTAATTTCATGTACAGTCATCTCTCTAGTGAGATGGACAGTTTTCACCAATACTGCAGGGCAGGGATGGTCCAAGATATTTTGCCACCTGAGGCAAACTATAGAATGATGCTCCGCTGTCATGTTTTACTCCTATAAAAAGAGGGTTTTATCTCACATGCATTCAAGCTCATGGGAAGAAAAGCCAGGCCTACTGTGCATGCACTTACTTGGCTTGTTCATTTGCAGTTTAGGAGAAGGTGCCACCAGCTCCACACATCCATAGCCAAAAATGCCCTCACTGTTTACTAACCTAAGTGCAACACCCCACACAATGGTGAGAGAGGGAGAGCAAGCAAGCACAAGAGCAAGGCTAATACACACAAAGGGAAGCAGTTCACCTCACTCCGTGCATCCTGGATTAACGCGGAGGCACTCACTCAAACTACATGAGAGCAGGACTAACAACAGAAAGTGGGGAAAGCCACTCATTCCCACTTTTTCTGGAACAAGCAGCCAGAGAACAGTGGGAGTGCAGGGCAGCGACTCCATGCCATTCAGCGGGTGAGGAAGGAGGAGGAAGGAGGCTGGAGGCAAAGGTAGAGGCTCAGACAAAAGTGCCACCTCAGCTGGGTTGGAGGAAGCCAGGTGGGGGTGGGGCAGCGAAGGAGGGCAGGCAGCATCGCTAGGGGTTTGCGAGGTGTTGCAAGGGGTGCACAATGGCCAGCCACTGCATGGACACTCTATGGCCTCAGCTGTTTCTAGACTTGCTCCTGCTGCTGCTTCTGCTGCCACCCATTCCTGGGTCTCTTCACATGGTTTTTCCCAGGCATCAGATGCCTGCAGAATTCAGCACAGAGACGCTATTTGTGGGAAATGTGCCTTGTTGCTAGGCCACTGGTGCGACTGAGAAACATCAAACATAGCATGAGGGGGCATCCATTAGCATAATGGGACTTCTCCATCCTCCCCTCACAAACATGCATGTAGAAAACCTACTCCAGGAGGTTGGGGAACCTTCCGGAACAGATGGAGGGGTGGAAGGGAGAAACCAGAAGTCCCATTGGACTAGAGGAGTTCTTCTTGCATTGGACATAACTGGATCTCACCCACTGTTTTCAAGGCTCATCCCTTGCAACTTAGAAACATTTAAACAATTCGGTTTTGCTTACTTCACAGAGGTTTTACTCACTCTTCTGTACAATGGGCTGCAGTCACTATCCATTGGTCACTGATGATTGCACCACCACATACATGACTCTGAAGAGATAACTTTGCGTGCAAACTGACTTGCCAGGGCCATTCTCCAGAAGACGAATTTGTTCCTCCAACAATCCGTCCCTTTGTCACAGATTGCTTCACACATTCTAAGAAAATACTTAAATCTCAACAATGTTTTTCTAGCGCAAATAGTTTTTACCTCATAGTTTTTGTTTATTGCAACAGTTCACATAGGTTGATTAAAATTATAAAACTTTGAAGTTTTTAAAAATAAATTTAATGGTTGTTTTTTTAAAAAATAAAACTTTATTTTATGCCCTCTCTCAAGGACTGTATGTGGGCTTTTACCACAACAGGCATGCAAGTTCAGTTACACTGAGGCAAATGAATTGACCCAAACCTCCCAATGGTCTTCTAGAATTTTGTCACCACTATATTTCATCACTGGTGCTCTGAATTAAGATTATCCAAACTCCTAACGATTCCAGTTCTCCTTGTATCCACCAGGTGCAATATTGTGTGTTTCTCAGGCCTTTGTGGGATACTTTATTAAGACAAAAGGACTCTGTGGCCTGTAACTTACAGGCAGAAGACCAATTCAATCCACCATGGAGTCCTTTCCCTTGTTTTCAAAGTCAAACTGGATGTGACTTTAGGAAATCAAATGCTAACCAGACATGACTTGGGACAGCCGGTCACTGACATCCTGATGCTTTCATTTTAACCAAGCAGCAGGTGTGGGACTGTCCCTTCCCACAAGGATTGGAGCAGTAGTGCAGAAGCAGAGGAGTGTTTAGTTCTTTCCCTGTTTTGTTTTCCCCCAATCCAAACTTAAACAAAGCTGCTGTCAGCCCCAGTAAGGAAAGTGATACGTTTTCAAAGGTGGCATGGAACTCATGATATCTAACCATTCTCAGTCTCCCTCACCAAACAGTAAGCTTCCCTATCAGAGCTAAGAGTTAAATGAAGAAACTGGAAAGGGTGAAATTTCTACTCCAGTGCAGGTATTCTCAATCAAGTTCACATATATTAGTGAAAATAAGTTATGAACGTGCATTGTGTTAGGAAAACTGCTTGCCAAAAAAATGTGCATTTGAATCAAAACTGAATGCAAAATTCATATATTAGGAGAAATGTCACCTAAATGTTGATGAATTTCTATGAGGGGTTATAAATAAATAAGTGGCAAAACTGCTTTGGAAATGTGAAGAACTAAATTTCAAAATGGAAAAATAAGAAACTAAGAGAAATGGAAATTGAAAGATTTGTCCAAGCACAAATTAAGCTCTAAGAGGCCTTTTCTATGCAATCCCTTTTAAGAAGAAGAGTAAACACAAACCAGCAAACAGAAGCTGATGGGCACTTGATAGCTAGACAGAACTACCCCAGAAATGTTTGTACAGAAATGTTTGTGCAGAATGGCCACAGAAGGTTCAGGGACATGAGCAGCATTTTGAACAGACAGACTCTGGTACATTAAACAGAGGAAGTATGCTTTACAAAGTTAGAAGAGATATCAGGGTATCTATCAAAAGTTGTTAATTCTGGATTATAGGCAGCTTTTGTTCCTGAACTGGGCCACACAGTCTGTTTATATAGCCTTAGGTTATTCTATATTGCTGTATATAAACTTACAGCAGAGCCTTGCAGATTAGAGACCTCAGAGGAGACAATATTGGGCAGATGAACAAAAATTCGTAGTGTTATAGACTTGGTTGTCTCACTGGTTACTTCAGTTGGCACCAAATAGGAATTATTATGTTATGCTTAGCTGTCAAATTTGCTCATATGATAAACCATTGTGTGTCAGCCATCTGTTATAATGAAATACTAAGCACTACTGCATGAAAGCCCTTGTCAAATACTATTGCATGTCAGCTTGCAAATACCATTAATTACTGACATTTCAAACATAATAGGAGGCCAAGAAGGTGTAGCAAATTTCAATAAATATTCAGCAATCATTAAAGCAACAAAACAATATATGGGGAATAGCGAATATACAATAACGGAGAAGATAATTTTAAGGCGGCATTTTGAAAGCAAATCCGTTTTGCCTCTGGTGAGCACCCAATAACTATGCAATGTGCCTAGACTAAAATTTAATTAATTAACTGGGAACTTTAATGGCTCTTATATAGGACAAAACCTTCAACGAAGCACATAAGAGGCCTGATGGAACATACCAAAGATATCCCAAGAGAAGTGGCTGGCAGGGTGGAATAGTGCTGCGCTGCTATTATCCCAACAGCAGTGCTGCCAAAATTTAGCTGGATGGTGTGGGGGGTAGGGCAGGGTGGCAGCAAGGCTGGGTGTGCATGGGCACACTGGCAGATGTGCTTGATTGGTTCCACCAGAGCACCAACACAGGTCTGCCTCAGCACCACCCTCAGCACCATTCTGGTAAGCAGCAGCCATGCCACTGCAACACTTTGCCACCAGGGCACCTGCCCCTGCTAACCCGTCTAGCATCTAGACACCTGTCTAGCTTCCACAGCCAGCCAGCCAGATGCTTTAAGAAGCCCACATACAGAAATGTTAACCACATACTTCCAACTTTGACTCACCAAGTCTGTCTTTAACCTGACACAATCTTAAAGAATAGCCAGAAACCTTTCCCGTCTCAGTCACAATTTTATTCGGTGCCCCATTGGCAGTCATTCTTAGGTAGCATTTACATTTGCTATCAAGAAAAGAAAGGAAGGCGGATTCAATTTTCGAATATTGCTCAGCAAGGAAAAGTTTATGGGTAAATCTTAATATTGTGGGATGTTCGTTTGTTGATTTATTTCAGAAACTTACCCTTCTCGGTTGCACAATGTTGGGTCTGAATCGTATGTAAAAAACTGGCAGCGGATCGTGTCTGTGCAAAGTTGTTGGCATTCCTTGCTTCCTTTGACATAGTCTGCCTTCACTTGCTCCCCCAGAAAGTTTAAATTGTTGTGAGCCATAACATGACAGGCTGCCATTTTGTTTGTAACCATTGCAAACAAAATAAAATAAAAACAGTGTGTTATCATGATAAGGGCAAGGAATTCATCAATCATGAAATTGTTTTGTGGACAGCATAACTTATGCATTACCTGGTGTAGCTGTCCGGCAGCTTAGGAGACTGAAACCTGACTTAACTCGTCTTTCTACAAAACTCTCCGGTGTGCCATTTATTGATTTCATCATTTGGCAAGTAAATCTAAAGCCAAAACACAAACACAAACTCATCAGTGATAGTATTGATTGCATACTGAAAGTGCTTCTAGGCCTCTTCAGCTGCATTCTGAATACATCATATCCTCTGATTCTGTAAACCAGGGTTTCCCAAACATGGGTTTCCAGCTGTTTTTGTACTACAACTCCTATCATCCCCAGCTAACACAGTCAGAGGTCAGGAATGATGGGAATTGTAGTACTCAACAATCAGGTGAGTGGAGAAACAGGAGGCAGGCTGCCACATGCACACACCCCAGATATTCATTGACTCATCCACAAGGGCTAAGGATAAATATTTCAAAGAGATTGTTACAATTTTAAACATGTTATTAGGAAGCATGGTGTCTTCAGACTACTTGATAGTAATACTCACTTTGGGTGTTTTACATCTCCATCACTATCATAAAAGGTAAAGAATAAGCAGACTGGGTTGTAAGTGCAAATTGTTCTGCATACAAAGGCATCAGGTGTCAGAACTCTTGCAACCGTAACACCAGAAAATTCCTCCTGAAAAATTTCCATCCGACAGTCTGCACAGAAAATGAATGTGTATAGTCAAACTCATCCATGAAATCAAGAAATACACATACATATAATATCACTTTGGTCTGAGAGTTGTGGAGTCAAATTCTCCGGAATTTGTGTATTATGACACTGTTTGACCCTTCATTCCCTGAATCCATATTCTCAACTCAGCAACAAAGCTCATTCAATGGCTTGTGCAAGTCATTATCTCTTAGCATAACTACTTCACAAGATTGTTGTGAGAATAAATTAGCAAAACAGGATAAGACATGACTATATTATAACTCAAATATGTTATTGGCACAATGGATAATAACCTTTACTATAACCATTCTTTTTTATATTCACGTCACGTCATCATCTTGTGCATGTCAGAGCCCTGCAATATTTGGGGCTCCAACTGGTGCCCTCCCAATATTGTTGGACTACAACTCCCATCATCTATGACCATTGGCCATGTTGATTGAGGCTGATGAAAGCTTGAGCCCAGCAACATCTAGAGGTCACCAGGTTGAAAATGGCTGCTATATGGAATATATATTTATTTACACCTATGGCATTGTATCAAAACACCCTACAATATACTCTCCCTACTGTTTTCTTTTAATATATACATATTTATTTACCTGTATCGGCACCTTGACATGCCTTTAATGAGAATCCTGACATAACGCCACTTAGATACCTTATACTGGTTGGTGTTCCCTTGGCACTATACTTCAAGTAGCATTTATTGCTGAATGAGAAAGGAGATTTAAATTGTTAGCATGAAATAGGAACCCAGTCAAAGGAAAGGAAATAATTATCTAGCCTCAGATTGATTGTTTTCCAAATTTGTTGCCTTTCTCTATGTCAGGCATAGGGACCCTTTTTCAGCCTGAGGGCCATGTCCCCTCAAGAACAAACTTTAGGGGTCTGCATGCCAATGGTGGGTGGGACCAGAGAAAAAGGCATTCGACGCAATTGATGTGACTCTTACCTTTGTACAATCAGCTACATTCCAACCAAACAAAAAATGAGATTTTTCTACACAGAGAGAGACACAGACACATCTCTCAGTCCTCAATCCAGACAAACGAAAGGCATAGTTCAGGGATATAGTCTAGTCAGGAAAAAACAGGCCAGGAAGCTGTAGAATGAAGCCAGGAGGGGCATGGTCAAGTGAGAGGGGCAAGCCCTGAGGAGAGCGCCAGATAGAGAGGCCTGCATTAAAGAAGCAAAATCCAGATAGCTGTATGTTTTGTTTGGTTAAATGCTTCACTAAAAGAAATGATCTAGAACCTGATCCATCTCCTGAAGTGTGGAAAATAGAGGGCAACTTTAAAAAAGACCAAAGCAGGTACTAATTTTGATTGTGTGCTTCTGGATTTTAATTGTTATTAGAATAGCAATCCACAAGCATCATCCAATTAATCACACTGACAGTGCTCTGAAGGTAGATAGGTATCAGAATAATGCTGCTATAAAATATTTCAGCATGTGAAGTCACTAATAATGCTCTACTCATATGCATTCTGCTTGAAAAATGATTGCAGTAGAATGCTGATCTATGTGCATCAAATTATACCAGCATACTGCTTGTCATTTTTAGGGAAATAAAAGAAATAGAGATAAATAAATGTACAAAATAAATGTATGGGGGTTCATCGTTAAGTTTTGAACAAGGAGGAGAAAAAGCACAAGGACTTGCCATTCTCTGTAAGGTATCTTGCAAACCGATTTGAGCAAGATATTTTTTCATTTCATTAAGATTAGTGAGTAATGCAATTCCACTGCGAACAATCTGTATTTGACTCCCAAAGTGCTGGGTCATTAGCACATTTAAATCCACAGTAGAGAATACTGAAACTGACTGTTCTGAAATAGATTAATTCAGCTTGTGCTATTGCAGACAATTTAATACCATTTTATGACAACAGAAAGTACTGTTAGCTACTGCAAGAAGGATGGATTTAGGCAGCAAACACTACTGCTAATGCAATCCTATGCATGTCTACCCAGTAGTAAGTCCAAATGAGGTCAAAGGGGCTTGCTCACAGGTATACGGTTAAAGGATTGCAGCCTTAGGGTCTATACACCATGAGCCAGAGACCATAACTAATTTATATAATCTCAACATGGCCAGCACAATTTTATAAAAACTGACAAAAATACATGATCTGTACAGGAGAGCTTGGGGAATTTTCAGCCGATCTCTAAACTTAGAGTGCAGAAATGTGAGAATTGTCTTTAAATACTTCCTTTCATTGAAATTTTCTGGTTCATTGTGTTTTATCTGGATTGAATAGTATGCCATTCTCTGGTGTGATGGTTGGCAAGCCAACAACAGGTAGGCCATTGATTGTAGCTTGTTAAGGAGCAACAAACCCACAACCCCTGGTTCCACTGGAACCTGAGAACTAATTCAAGTCATAGCAGTTTCAGAACCAACTTTAACTAGATGGGGGCAGAGGGCATGAATATCACAGCCTAATGACCACGTTTATTACCCCAGAAGTAACATAAGAAACAGTATTTATACCCTCACACTAGTACAGGGACCTGAATCCAGGCCAAGGGCTGGCATAGCAGAAGGCTTTGATGCCATTATGTGGGGTGGGAAAATTTATGCAGCCTAAAGGCCACATTGCATGGTGGCCAAATGCCAGGGGTGGGTAAGTGACAATTTGTTACCTTTAATTCTATGGGCAGATGATTGATCCTGGAGCAAACAGCCTGTGGTCCCTGTTTTCCTGCCTGGCAAAGGCATCAGAGTCATTGTAGTCCACTTGCCATATACAGAAAAACGAACTATCTGATCCATAGTACTGAGAAGTCCTGTGATGGCCTGGGATTCCGAGTCTGAGAGCGATCCGGAGGAATCCCAGCCGGCACAGGAGTCCCCGCCTCCAGGGCCGGCTGAACTGGGGCAAGGCCTAGATGCTGAGGAACCTCAAGAGCAGGCACCAGGTGAAACCATTTTGGCCCCAGAGGTGCTGGAAGACTCAGTGGCTACAGGTGAGCCTCCCCCGGGGCCCAGTAACCCTTCGGCCTCTCCTGATCTGCAGAGGCTTAGGGCAGAGAGGCGAAGGGAACTGGTGTCTCCCAGGAGGAGTGCTCGCCTTAAGGCCAAGAGAGGCAGGGCTTCTGGGGGCCGGGACCGCCCCCGGCCTTAGAAGAAGATAAAGGTCAGGCAGCCCGGTCCCAGGTTGCGGGAGCAACGTCGTTGTGGAGTACCTGCTTACCCAGTCCTTGATCTGCACTCCCAGTGTGCCTGTTCCTCGCCCGGCTTCCTGTTCCTGACTATCCGGTGTCCCTGTTCCTCGCCTGGACTCCTGCTTCTGCCCTACCAGTGTTCCTGTTCCTCACCTGGCTTCCTGCTTCTACCCTGCTAGAGACTCTGGACTGATCTTGGGCTACGGTAATAGTACCTTATCCCCCCTGGGACCAGCACAAGTCCATTGGGTCCAATTAAAAAGCATATTGGCATTATTTACCGGAAATGTGCATTGTGAAATGAAGCTGTGGTGTATGTGAAAAAATGACAGTGATTCTCATTGGTGCATCTTTTTTGGCAGTGGTCATAGCTTTCTTCAGTGGTTATATTGTAGTTTTCTCCTCGCATATCCAACCCTTCATGGACTTCCTTGCTGCAAGCTGGAGAGGGGCAGAAGGACAACAGCAATCTGCAAATGCAGATGAACACCAATAGCAAGGCATCTAGAGGCATCTCTCTCTCCCAGCAACCAGGCATCAGTGCCATACCCCAAGGCCCACACTGCTCTGTTTCAACAGTAAGCTTGAGAGGCAGAGGTCCAGACTTCAAGGGCAACTCCTAGATGCCAGTACTAGTCCCAAGGGCCAATCCCAATGCATCACACCTTATAAAGCCCAGGACCCAGATCCAACTTCTTAGTTACGTGGTCTGCCACTGAGCTGACAGCCTGTTCCCCCTAGATCTCAGAACTTGACAGCCTGGGAAGTAGATCCTACTCAGGCAGGGCAACAACTCACATGTATAGCAGTAGTAGTAGTATTTCACAGTGGGATTTCCTTCTGAGTAAAGATGCATAGGAGCAGATCCTTATTTCCCCCACCCCACCAGGGGCCAAGGTTGAGAAGTAGGTGGTCCTAGCTATTTGTCAATCACCTGATGTCTCATTGATGTCAAGATTTTGCTTGCATGGTTTGAAATCATACCATGAAAGCAAAGGCACGGTGCTTTGCAAGCCCATTCGTCTGGTCATTGGCTCTTGCATGGGCCAGTGCATAGTGCTTTGCAAGCCCAGGGATCAAATGATTGTTGACACTTGCAGACCCCAGTGCACAGGACTTTGCAGGCACCACTGATTAGCTGACTGCCACTGCCTGAAAACCCCCTTTCAGCCAAGCCATGTCCCTACCTGCCCCATGTGTGGCATCAGATATAGGGTACCAGGTGTAGGGCAGATGGGGAGGCCTGGAGGGGGGAATTGGGCCTTCAAGCTGGAGGTTCCCCACCACTGATGTAGACAACACTGAGCTTGATGGCTCAATAGTCTGACTTGGTATAAGGCTGCTTCCTATGTCCCTTTGGCTGCTTTGTAGGGTCTCCGAACCAGCAGACCTTACCAGTGACTCCAGGGCATTGTTTCCGGGAATGTCCAGAGATTACCCCTTTGGTGGGTATCCTTGGCAACGCTTGAGTATCAGTCTCTTTCAGGAAGCATGCAAACCTGACATTAAGGAAAGGAGAAACAGATTATAGAATCATAGAATCAAAGAATTGGAAAGGACCCCTTCATTTATAGCGTGCATTTATTTATTTTCCTTCCCCTTTATCTAGCTATTTATTTATAGTGTGGATTTCTGAACTATGCAAAAAGAAAAAAAGAAACCCCCTCCCTGGGTAAAAACAAACAAAATGAACCACCAACCGTCCCCTCCTAAAACTGTCCCCTGCCGTTGAAATTCAATTACACCCAGCTTGGGATAGGAGGTACCTGTCTTGTTTGAGTATATTATTTCATTTTATAATGTATACAAATCAGAAAGAGCAATTATAAAAGCAGACAGAGGTTAATGTCACTTGTATATAGATGCCACTAAATGAATGAACAAATAAACAAACAAATCAGAGATGTAATGTGAATGTTACCTTCCAATATCTTTCACCCAGTCTCCTGGAAAGTAGGAAAATAATAGACACTTTGGGTGATATGTGCACACCATTTGGCAGTAGTCTGCATTCGGAGCATAAACCTTAGAGATATCTCCTCCTTGAAAATATGTGTTTTCATAGATTTCAGACACACATTCTGAGGCACAAAAATGCAAAATGTTAGCGTATGTTCATGGTACATAGTTGTTGCTGTTTTCCAAAGCAGGGGTAGATAGGCAGAAGATGGCTGATGTTAGGCTTCTAGTTGCTATTAAAAGCTTTTGCCATAGTCCTTTTTGCAATATTTTGCTTATTTCTGGTTGCATTTTATGTGTGTGTTTTTTTAAAAACGAGTGAGGGTATTTTGCACATTTTGTGCATTTTCTGAGCTCATTTTCAAATTGCAAGGTTTGGAGAATGGCAAAATCCAGCGGACTGTTTTGTTATGTTTCTCTACAGTGGGTCAGGGAATGCAAACCGGTTTTGTCAGCATCAAAGTGTGGAACAAATGAAAACTGCAAGCATCCCTACTTCAGCCACCCAGCCACTTTCAACCCCTGCACTTCAAGTTCTTTCCGTCCCATCGACCCTTTTCATTTATAAACCAGCTTTACGTTCATGAGTTCCTATGAAGAACACAAGAAGTTAAAAACCATAGTCCCACTGAGCAAACAGAAACCCTTGCACCAATGGGATGCATCACACTGTGCTATTTTTAACACAACCCTATTTGTTAACCTCTACAAAACTACAGTTCCTGTTGCTCCTTTCTGAGTTTTTATATCAGGAAAAGTAGCCATGCCTTTATAGGTGGCCAGAGCAGGTGTAAGTAGACCATTATGTTATGGCTGGAGTAGATGGAAGCTCATTGCTCCACCTCATTATTTATGAGTTGTAACAAATCCCCACCCCCAGTCAGCTCCTAGGCTAGCCCAAGACATTTTGCTGCCTGATACAAAAATAATATTTTTTTAAAAAATGGCACCCTCCTCTATTTCATGCACAAAGACCTACTGAACTGGCAGTTAAATTTTATTTCAATGCTGGCAACAGAACAGCATCTGCCCCCACAGTTGACAAGTTAACTTACTGGTGCGTACCCTCCAAGTGTCCAGACTTTCCTGGGGCATTCCCAGAATTGCCAAAACCATTCCAGCTTCTGATTTGATCCTGGAATGTCCCATTTTCCCCTCCAGCACTGTCACTGTTGGAAACTTTCCTAATCACAAAAGGCCTGTTTCTTTTTTTCTTTTTTAAGTAGAGGGCAATTGAGTGTTTTAATCTACTGTAATTGCTCAAACCTAAATCCTCCAGTACAGTGGTACCTCGGGTTACATACGCTTCAGATTACAGACTCCGCTAACCCAGAAATAGTACCTCAGGTTAAGGACTTTGCTTCAGGATGAGAACAGAAATCATGCTCTGGCCGTGCGGCAGCAGCGGGAGGCCCCATTAGCTAAAGTGGTGCTTCAGGTTAAGAACAGTTTCAGGTTAAGAACAGACCTCCGGAACGAATTAAGTACTTAACCCAAGGTACCACTGTATAAATTTAACACTGTCCAGCAAAATTGTGAGAGAGGCACCATTAGTCACCACTGAAACCCCCAGCTTCCTCTGGAAAAAAGCATTGGAGGATGCAAAATATTTTGAAATTTGGCTACCCTAGAATTAATAATTCAGAGTATTTGGATTTCCTCCAGTATTATTTGTTAGATAAACTATTACCGTTCCACATTTTATTTTCTGAGCTTGGTCCGATGAAGTCATTTAGGTATATCTTTACAAATATTCACATACAAGAAGCAATCTAGAGGTACTTACCGCTAGAGACTGAAGAAATTAACAGAATGAAAGAACATGTTTGTGAAATCCATGCCATCCTAAAAAATAAATGCAATAAAATATTCAATGCCCATTTTAAAAGTGTGCTAGAAGGAGGGATTTCTCAAAAGTTCACATTTCCAAGGTCTCAGAAGGAGTTTAACCAAATGGGCATCAAAAGTTGTCATTAACATTGCTCAGTAATTTCAAAAAGTATAGTGCTTTTATTATATAAAGATGAATAATTTTTGTTCCCATCTGTTTAAACTATCAGCTAAGATTTATTATAATGAGTTACTGCAGTTAGTACTGTACTTTTATATCAGCCCATTGGTTGATTAAATACCGCAGCTTTAGTTAGATTTTTTTTTAAGCATGCGTCTAACATTAACAAAGCCTGATTTCTGACATTTTTTTTAACAATTTTTAATATATGTTGTAAGCTATCCAGACTGCCTAGGGAAACCCAGCCAGAGGTATGGGGTTTGTTTTTATTATTAGTATTACTACTATTACTACTACTACTACTTTTGATTTGCTCCCAGCTATCTAATATAAGCCCTGCAGTAGATGTATATTTTATTTCAAAGCAATAAAGGAAATTCATTACCTGGAGATAGTTGCTGCACTTGTAACTTTTCTTTCTGAACAAATGCAATTTGCAGTACCCAAAAATGGGGTGGAGAGGGGGAAATGTACACATTCCACTTGTGATAAGTCGTGCTGCCTCTGCCAATGTTTATCTGCCTGTGATATTTACTTTTGAGGAAAGCTCACACAGTAAATACTGCTTCTGCCTTCTTGAAAGTGATTCTCAGCTGACGTAAGCTGACCGGTGACACCGGAGGGGTTTTTTTCTTTTCTGAAAAATGTCATTTTCTCTCATTTATATGAGCTAAGCCATCTGGTGTTTACTATGGGTACTACATTGCATTGGAGCAGGAACCGGCAAGCCACTCTAGTATCCCTGCCAAGAAAACTCCATGGACAAAGACAACAGGCATATGAGTGCCTGGCGTGCTCTGGTCCATGGGGTCACGAAGAGTCGGACACGACTAAACGACTAAACAACAACTACATTGCATAGAAAAGGAATGCATCAAAATCTACAACATGGCTCGGCACACTAAGGCCGGATCCAGCCCAATCACCTTGTAAATCCAGCCCATGGATGGTCCAGGAATCAGCATATTTTACATGAGTAGAATGTGTCCTATTATTTAAAATGCATCTCTGGGTTATTTGTGGGGTATAGGAATTCATTCATTTATTTTTTTCAAAATATAGTCCGGCCCCCAACAAGGTCTGAGGGACAGTGGATCGGCCCCCCTGTTGAAAAAGTTTGCTGACCTACAAGAACATTCAATATACATTCCTCACATATCCTCCTAATGGCACCTGCCTCAGACCCGCCAGTTTTGGCTCTCATGAAAGGGCAGCACAATTTCAGTTATTTAATTTATTGTTGGGGGTGGTTCTGCCAAGAGAGGCACTTGTGGGATTTTCTGCCTAAAGTGCCGAAACAAGTAGGTTCACCTTTGGTTCTAGGTACTTTGACTTTTCTGTCAGAAAGCAGCAGGTCCTGATTCAGTCCACTGGCGGAGGAAGCGGAGTGCAGGGGGAGCACACCGCCCCCGGCAGCGCGATCTTGTTGGGGAGCCATCGTGGCTGCCCCCCCGCCCGCGTTGTCCCCCCCCCCCACTCCCAGGATGCGTGCCACACGCCTGTGGGCGGTGTATCACGCCCCCAGGACTCATGTCATGCCCCTGTGGGCGACGCGCCATGCCCCCAGGACGTGCGCCAGCCCCGCCCCGCCCCGCCTGCTCTCCACCCCCTGGTGCCAGAGCATGAAGCTCCACCACTGATCCAGTCCACAAGCACACACATGTGAGCATGTGCTCACACAGGAACATGTCCTGTTCTCTCCAGACTGATCAATACAGTGGCACCTCTGGTTGTGAATAGGATCCATTCCGGAGGCCCGTTCGCAACATGAAAAGAGTGCAACCCGCTGTGGCATGTCTGCGCACACGTGGGTTGCGATTCGCTGCTTGTGCGCATGTGCGTGATGTCATTTTGTGCTTCTGTGAATGCACGAGCGACGAAACCCGGAAGCAACCCTTTCTAGTACTTCCGGGTCTCTGTGGGACGTAACCTGAAAGAACGTAACATGAAGCGAACGTAACATGAGGTATGACTGTATTTATCTGTATTCTGTTTAAGCTCCACAGGTCTGCATTTTCTAATAATAATAATTTATTATTTATACTCCACCCATCTGGCTGCACTTCCCCAGCCACTCTGGGCAGCTTCCAACAAAATATTAAAATACAGTAATCCATCAAACATTAACAGCTTCCCTAAACAGGGCTGCCTTCAGATGTCTTCTAAAAGTAAGATAGTTGTTTATTTCCTTGACATCTGATGGGAGGGCGTTCCACAGGGCGGGCGCCACTACCGAGAAGGCCCTCTGCCTGGTTCCCTGTAACTTGGCTTCTCACAATGAGCGTGTGGCGATCACACAGGGTCCCCGGACGTTTCACCGTCTATTGATCCCTGTGCCACCACTTTATTTCTAGCTGCCACCACCCAGGCCCTACCTGGTACAATATTGAGTCCAGTCAGGGTTAAATTGGAACATAAACTTCTGTTTATTTATTGCAGTTTAACAAGCGTGTGGTTTCAGAAACGGTATCAGTCAATTACAATCATGGGGAAGACCTATAACTTCCACTACCTGCTCTCACTCATTAAACCACCTCCCAGATATTTACTTGTCTTCCTAGTTTCTAACTGTTCCTGACTCCGCTTATTTCGCTACACTAACTCAACCTACCCACAGACTCTATCCCAATTCACTCCCACTCCAACCAACCTTCGCCCCTCCCAGAGCTGGTTTTATAGTCCCTCTGACTCCACCCCCCTGGGTTCTGATTGGGTAACCTGTTTAACTATTTCACCTCCAGCATTCTCATGTGTTACAGTCACACATGAGGGAACCGCCAGAAGGACGCTGGACCTCAGTGTCAGGGTAGAAGGATGGAGCAGTCCCCATGTTTTGCATGGGCAGATTTATGATTGATTAAATTTTGGCTCAGTTCTTTGCAGAATCACCTCCCTCCACATCAGCCTGCTTATGCACCAAGGCTTTTTTTCAGCTGAAACTTGGTTCTGGCACCTCTGAGGTGGGAGCCTTTTGAGAAACAAAAATAGAGGCTATAAGCAGAGATGCCAAGGAGAAAGAAACTGAGTGACTCTTGCCCACTGGTATTTTTTTAAAAAAATGCATAAATGTGTCACTCATCTATTTCAGGGATGACCAGCTTCTTTATTCTCAGGGACCACTTTTACCTCCAGACATAGGAGTCTGAACAACCCAACCCCTGTCACAGGATAGTATTGTAAAGCTAGTCATCTTCTACAACAAAGATGGAGAGACTGCCTCCAAATGCTGCTCCCATCATCCATCACCACCAGTGATGGTATCTAGGACAGATGGGAGTTGGGAGTCCAATGGCATCCATGTGGTCTGGGGCTCCTCAACCCATTCTAGAGGAAAGGTCTTGGAAGTAGGACTGTAAGAAGGCATCGCTTTCCATTCAACCATCTTTGTCAAATGCAAGGCTGTTTCCATTCTACTGCAGTTCGCCTTCTGCCAAAACCTTTTATTCGTCGTGCTATCTGCTGTGGCAAAATTATGTAACAAGCATAATTTAAGTGACTATGTAATGTACATAAATTACGCTGTCATGATGTTATTCCATTCCCTTCATTTCAGTGCAAAGGACACAATGCAAATGGGGGGAGGGGTGTAATGAATTCTGTATTGTTTGCAGACTGAAAGCAACAAGAACAACAAAACTGATCATATTCACTAGATGATTTCCATAATTTAACGCTGGCAAATTCCACTGTTTTCATCAGTATTTATTTATTTATTTATTTATTTATTTATTTATTTATTTATTTTAAGTGTCATACTCAGTTTTATTAAACTGATTTCAGATTGTTTTTGAAATGTTCAGGAGGTAGGCAGCAAAGCAGTTGAATTTACACAGGTAACAAACAGCAATAAAACGAGTAATGGGTAAAAAATGGAAGCAGACACACAATGTAAACTTGTAAATAACTGTTAACTAGAGCTGGGTAATAGCTGTATAATGCAGCATGTATATGTGTATACATTTATGAACACTTTAGCCATTTCTACCTTAGTTCCCTTAGCATTAAAGGTTCAGTCTCTTTTCTGGAACACTCCATGTTTCTGACATTCTTGGTCAGGTCACTTGTACTAAAATAAAAGTGTGTCTGTGTGTGTGTGTGTGTGAGAGAGAGAGAGAGAGAGAGAGAGAGAGAGAGAGAGAGAGAGAGAGGTGGACAACAGACCACCATGTATAACGATGCATATGTGTAAAATCCATTAACATTCACTTGGAAACATTGCTCAAGTAAAGTCTTGTGTGCTTTTTGAACAATTTACTTAGATACCATCCTCAGGCAAAATCACCATAGGATATAACACTTGATCTAGACTGTAAGGGACCTTATAATGTAATTGGGCAGGGGCAAACCAGAGGCTAAGCAGGAGAAGATGCTCCATCCTGTCTGTATGCTTACAAAACATAGGTCTAATTTTTCTCATATATTCAAGGTCTTTAAATATTGAAATGAATGAGGTTTTTTTAAAAAAAAATTAAGCATACAGTGGTACCTCAGGTTAAGTACTTAATTCATTCGGGAGGTCTGTTCTTAACCTGAAACTGAGCTTAACCTGAAACACCACTTTAGCTAATGGGGCCTCCTGCTTCTGCCGCGCCGCCGGAGCACAATTTCTGTTCTCATCCTGAAGCAAAGTTCTTAACCCTAGGTACTATTTCTGGCTTAGTGGAGTCTTTAACCTGAAGTGTATGTAACCTGAAGCGTATATAACCCGAGGTACCACTGTATTGCTCATCTTCTTTAGGATTAAGGAAAGTCAGCTAGTGTCAACCTAGGCTGAAGCCTACAAATTGCAAAGACAATTGGAATAACCCATCATTTGAATAATCATCTGCTTCTAAAATGCAGCTGTTGGCCTGTAATAAGCAACAACACAATCTTGGTTAAAAAAATGAAGTCCAGGAAGGGTTAGGCAGTCTGAAACAGTTCTAATGCAAGGTGGTGAGGAATTTCCCTGAGGGTTCTTATTTTAACTTATTTTCTCTTTTTCAACTGAATCCAGATGCCTTTATCAGGACGAAGAATCAGTTCTCCTACAAGATCAAGTTGATCACGTCGCTGTGCACTTTCAACAGAGAAGCGCCGTAGGATGGTGGCTAAAATAGTCTTTTCTTCCATCTGTGCAAAGCGCTGACCTGCAGAGGAATTGGAAAGCAATGACAATGTACAATTAACTAGAGCAATAATACATATTTATTATTATTCAACATGAGTCATGTGACATTGAGGTCAGGTTCTCAGATTCATTTTTAAATCCTTAAACACTTTTATGTAATTATACAAAACCACCAAACAAACACAGAGAGGGTGAGGCAGTGGAATTGCAGCCATTGGAAGGGGTAAGTGAAAAACTGGAAGGGAAGGACTGATAATATTGATGTAGAAATAACTGAGGTGCATTCACACTATACATTTAAAGCACTATGATACTGTTAACAAGTCATGGCACACACACACACAAAGAATCCTGGGAACTGTAGTTTGTTAAGGATGCTGAGAGTTA